AAGTTATCTTGCAGTTATAACTCCCTTTTCCCAGCAGGACATGAAGTTGGCAGGAACTGAATGTCCCCTCACATCGAGAGGACGTGTGACTCAATCTCTCTCTTGAGCTAGGTCTGACCCTTCAAAATTAATAGAAATGGTCAATTAAGGTGTCCTGTTTCTCTTACAAACTACCCTAAGAAAAATCAGTCTTTGTACAGAGCTCCATATACTTCAAAATTACTAAAATGTACACATATGGACCTCCACGCAGATTCCAAATTACCCTTTGAGTACTGCAGGACTGATGGCATATTCTGTATTCTGAAAACCCCTGCCAAACAGAGACCAACTGTTGCCTTTTGGTTTCAGATTTCTATCTACTTTTTATTCTTTGTCCATAAGCAGTCCCAGTACTAAAAACATTCTGAGCACCAGGACTAAACAGAAATGTGTGTGTGTGTGAGAGAGAGAAATGATCCTGGACAAGCCAACAGCATTCTTAGGTGACAAGTTTATAAGGTCTCATGCTTTTAGGAAAGAGCCTGGGTCCTCAGGAAAGCTCAGAGAAGGAAGCAAGTCCAGGAGTCTGAAACCTAGACAGACCTCTCAGAAGAGGGAGACTTCACTCTTAAAAGTACCAGGGAAATTTATCATTCCAGACAAAGAAAAAGAAATGGAGACTGTGAACTTTTCTGGAATTGTATTAATCAAAAAGCATCCAAACCATGTTGGGTCTTAGGAAAGAAAAATGATAAACAATGACCCAATCAGAAGGCTATCAGAAGTTACTGGGCAGAAGGCGGAGAATCTTAACAGTCGAAGAAATCTCAACCCAAAAATTTAAGACGGATCTAAATCTCCTTTAAGTACAACATTTAAATATTCAGTATTTCCTAGGGTACATGGATTTTCCATAGGTAAAATAAAACTAACCTTCACTGGCTTTGTCACAGATGTCTTCCTAGTTTTTTCTGGTTAAACATTCTGGGTTGGGGCCCGGCGCGGTGGCGCAGTGGTTAAGGTCCTCGCCTTGCACACCCGGGATCCCATATGGGCGCCTCTATCCCGGCAGCCCCGCTTCCCTTCCAGCTCCTTGCCTGTGGCCCGGGAGAGCAGTTGAGGACGGCCCAAAGCTTTGGGACCCTGCACCCGCGTGGGAGACCCGGAAGAGGCTCCTGGCTTCGGATCGGCATAGTATCGGCCCGTTGCGCTCACTTGGGGAGTGAATCATCGGATGGAAGATCTTCCTCTCTGTCTCTCCTCTCTGTATATCCGCCTTTCCAATAAAAAAATAATAATAAAAAAAAAACATTCTGGGTTACTTGGCCCACTGAAGACAAGTTAACACCAAAAGGTAGAGGGTAGGGGGTGTGGATGGAGATGAGATAGGAAGAGTTCAGCTCCTTTGATGTCCAATTTCCAACAAAGACATAAAAGCTCAATGCAAAAGAGAAAATGGGACCTTAAGAAAATGAAAACCAAAGTGTCAAGATTTATTTAACTTTTTCTTTCACAGAAAATACAGTAAGTATGGAACATACACATTGACAGAAGAAATAAAGCACAAGCATCAGGAAGACAAATGAATTGACTAATAATCTTGCATCAATGCTGTACTGCTTCCTGATTGCATTTGTAGTATGAATCACATGGCTATATAAATTGGAAAAAGGAAAGGCAATGTTCAGATTCACAAATATACCAGACAACTTCTGAAATCCATCAGTGGCATACAGAAGCTGGATCTTTCTGTTGTAAAAAATAATAAAATAAGCCAAAAATAAATAAAATAGAGCTATTTGATAATGGCCACAGAGTCACAGTGAGTTCTTATTTCAAAACACCCTAGGAAAGGCAAAAATGGAACGGATTGTTATCAGTGCCTTGCCCAGACTATCAACTTGTATCCCATGCTGCAAATCACATGGGATTTTCAAGGCTCTTTCTCAAAAGTCCAAACTAGGAAAATTTACCCAAATAAATAATTGGCATCAAGAACCAGGGTGCTTTGAAACAAGGGGTCTGCTTCTAAACTTGAATTCATTAGTAAAGACTATAGGCGGCAATCTTCTGGAGCCTAGCAGCCTGGAGCCTAGAAGCTCAAAATGACCTGTCTTTTTGGGAGATGACACCTACTAGGTGAGAGGTAAATTTTGATAATAGAGGCCTTCCACACAGACTACTTCAGTAATGGCACGCGGTGTCACAAGATTTGGGGTCAGATAAGGCTGCCTTAGAGTTAGACATCAGAGAAGGCTGGATGTGCCAAGCACACTAACTCCCTATTTAGGCCAGGATCAAAGGCTGTTGTCAACAGTCTGCAGTCCCTTGTGCCTTAATACACAACAATCTATGGAGATGTGGGAACTTATCCTTGAGGACTTCATCCTTACACCAAGCACAGTAGGCGGCTCATACTAAACAAGGATCTTTGGAAGAGAAGTGCTACTCAGACTGAGCGTCATGGAATTCTTTTTTCCAGGCAATGTTAACCACTTTCTATTGCTAACAATATGTTTATAGAATACGGGCCTGGCACAGTGGCCTAGCAGCTAAAGTCCTCACCTTGAATGCAACAGGATTCCATATGGACGCCGGTTCCAATCCCGGCAGCCCCGTTTCCCATCCAGCTCCCTGCTTGTGGCCTGGGAAGGCAGTCAAGGATGGCCCAAAACCTTGGGACCCTGCACCCGTGTGAGACCTGGAAAAAGTTCCTGGATCCTGAATCCTGGCTTCGGATGGGTGCAGCTCCAGCCGTGGTGGTCACTTGGGGAATCAATCATCGGATGAAAGATCTTCCTGTCTCTCCTCCTCTCTGTATATGTGATTTTCCAATAAAAATACATCTTAAAAAATATATTACATGACAAATGTCTTTGCAACAAAAAGCCTCCTTTTGTTTCCCTTATTGCATTAGACAGTGTTTTGCCATGGACTGAGCCTCACTAAAGCAATATATAAAGCAGAAAACTGAAATCAGGTAAGAGATATACCCCAAGAATTCCTGCATCAAATTTCCTCACCTTTTTTTGTGTGTGTGTGCTGTATTACAGTTCTGGTTCAGGTCTCTTCCCACCACCATTTTTTAAACATCTTGATGAAATAGATGAACACTGTACTCTGATTAACCTCATAAAGAAAAAGGCACTTGTTACTGACCTCCAGTACTGGACTCTACCATTTAATACCCCTGCAAAAGCAGAATTTCTTAATCCCTGTGAAGAACACAGCACTGTCTCAAGTAAAACAAGTTGCTTCACTCACAATTCTCTGTCCAGTACTCAGACCTTATGTGCCAGTATTGGCTGCAGAAAACAGAAATCGGGAATTGAGAATTCAATGTCCCAGATCTCTACAGCAAGTGGGTCTCTTGAGCCGCCTTCACTTTAGTTATCATTCAAGAATGTCTGGACCTAGAATCTTCCACGGCTTCAGCTCTCAGATCTTCTTCTACAGGAAGGAATGGAGATCCCACGGAGAAGCCATCACCTCTGGTCTTAGAATCATTTCATTCTGGAAAATAAACTGTTTTTATTTTTTCCTTCCAGGTACTAGACACAGCCATGCTTAGGGCAATAAGGCACCTGTGATGTGACCCCAGGTGGAAGGTACAAACAGAAATAGTACTTGGGTTCTGTGTGGCTACAAAGGAGTGCAAACTCCCAACATGGGCTGCCCCAGGCAAGGCTGCATCACACTTGCAGTGCTCTGGTCTAGCAGGAAGGCAGGTAGAACACTCCAAAACTCAGAAAAACAAAACATTCTTCCTTCAAATGCAAAGTTATAATATAAGTCAGGCCTTCAGTTTGTCATCCTTTCAAGTAATGTTTTCATAGCCGAGTCAGGAAATATAGCACAGTAATACATGACAAGTTGGACACCCTGGGTTCTAGTCTCATCCTTACCATTCACTGGCTGGGCAACTTTGGGAAAGTCACTTCACCTCCTCATCTTAGTCTTTATTTCCTCATCTGTAAAATGGGGCTAGAACACCTGTCATCCACGTCACATTACGACTGTGAGGATCAGACAGAATGTTAGCAAAGTGCCTTGTAAACTGTGAAATACTGTAGGTGAAGGTAAAATCACAGTATATACTTAATGAGACTCTAATTAGACTTTTATTATTGCCTATTTGATTAGGAGTGTCCCATGCCGGGTGTGTCTTGCAATATATGGAACTAAAAAAAAATAACTGCTACAAATATTTGCTGGCCCTTGTCACCAGGGTTATTTGAAGGAAAAATCTTACTTTCCTCAGAAATGACCTCAGAATACTAAGCTTGAAATGTAATGCCATCTCCATCTACCAACTTACAGAATAAATTTTCTCCAAGTCTGGCCTTTATGGTTACTGTTTGGCCTACCGATACCTTACACAGAGAAGCCTAGAATTCAAGAAACAGCATGCTAACATGGAAAACAAACAAAAACCACCATTTGGTTTCCACTAGTTGTTAAGGAAATAAAATGAAATGAGAGGCAGCGTCTACAATAAAATCAGGTCACAGTTCCTCAAATGGTCTCCATTTTCCTGAGATAGTTCCAGGACAGGGTCCTCGTCCTGTGAAATGCTTTCCGGAAGCTCAGTCTTACTGGAGGGGAAAAAGACATGTGGGTTGGCAATGAGGTTGTGCTCATTTTCAGCACTAGGATTGGAATAAGCAGGTCTGCTAGGAGCTGCCAAGCAGCTTTGGTGGAGAAGCCCATATGGGCTGAGAGAGCCTTGTACATTCTCAGATGCCAAGCCAGAGTGTGGAGAACAGCTGAACACAGCCATCCCATCCAGGAGTTCTCAGTTCTTCTTGTAAGTTGGTTCTGCTCATCTTCAGTCTAATAAGTAATTGAACAGAAGAAAAACTGTGAGATATACAGCAGTACCTACCCAGCACAGGGGCCTTTCTCTGCTTAGCTGTGAAAAGTTTACATGCAGCACAGAGACAAGGCAAGAAGTAAACGTGACTTTGATTAGACTTTGAAACAGACCGTGACTAGCTCCAAGCACCCAGATTCTGGTGTTCATGTCAGATAATATTTATTACAAATGGTACAGGCAATAACTTGGAGGGAGTCATGTTCGAGGAACCACTGGTTAACAAGACAGGCGTCCTTTGGGTGTGTTGCTAACCTCCACTTTTCTTCCTGGTTTGTTTTGCTTTCCGGCGTTTTAGGATGGTGTAGTTTGCATACACTGTATATTGATCTGACAAGAAGGGGACATAGAACGCCCGCAGCAGCTTTGAAGACCTGAAAAACATGGGAGGAAAGACAAAAAAAAGAATGTTACCGTTCGGAAGAATTTACCTTAGCAAAGCAGTACTGAACATAGTATAAAAGGAAATAAAATGCGGTGGTAAGGATTATGTTATACAACAGGTAGCACAGAGAAGCTTAACAAGGCTTGCTCAAGAACAAGTATCTTCGTCCCCAAGTCAGAACAGAATCTACTTAATGGGCACTAGTCTGCAAATCCTTCAGAGCAGCTATAGGTCTTTATTTATTAGAACATGCCATAGAAAGGTTCCAGGCCAATCAAAGACTGCTAACTAAAGAAATGAAATTTCTCTTTCAATGTATTATCATTTTTATTACAACTATTATTTTCCATGATACAATTTTGGAGGTATAGGGATTCCTTCCCACACCTTCCCTACCTCCCTCCCCATTTTTCCCTTCTGCTACTTCCCCCTCATAGTATCATAATGGTATAGTCATAAGAAATGAAATTCTTTTAAAATTTTTAAAATTTATTATTTTTTTATTGAAAAGGTAGATATACAGAAAGGAGGAAATAGAGAAAGATCTTCCATTCACTGATTTACTCCCCAAGTGGTACAATAGCCAAAGGTAAGTCAATCCGAACCCAGAAGTCAAGGTCTCCCGTGCATGTGCAGGGTCCCAAGGCTTTGGCCCATCCTCTACTGCTCTCCCAGGCAACAAGCAGGGAGCTGGATGGCAAGTGGAGCAGCCAGAATACAAACCACTGCCCATCTGGAGTCCTAGCAGATGCAAGGTGAGGATATAGGCTATCGCACTGGGCCTAAAAACACTTTTTTTTTTTAATTTGGAATTTTATGAGACAATTCCATAGGGTCTGGGATTTACCTACCTCCTCCCCAAATTCCCTTCCCCTAACTGATTTTCACCCATATTATTACAATAGTATAGTCCTTCATAAGCAGTCATAAGTACATCATTCTTTTAAGTGTGCCTGACATTGCTGGTACAGACAATGCTAGACAGTCCAGCATTCCCCAAATGAAAATTTTAACATCTAAACTGTTTCTCTTAGACATGCACACTCTTCAAATGCCCTGGACCTAGAGAAGTGAAGAAGCTGTGTCTGTGTGCCTGCACATGCTGTTCCAGGAATGCGCACTTCTACACACAAGTTCATGCTGTGGCAACACATCCTAGCAAATGAACATCTATCTACCTAAGAAGGAAATATGAGAACTGAAAGCCTAAATTTTTCACTTTAAAAAAACAGGTTTTTAAGGAATCTATTATTTAATCCACTAGATAGCCCTATGATGAAAATGGGCTTGGGAATCACACAGATTAAATAACACAATGGGTGCTAAAGAATAAATGATGAAGCCCTCATTCCAATTTGGATTTCAGAATTTTCATTGCTTAATTATCATAATTTACCCTGCATCCCCAGAACAAACCATTTAGATAGATAATTTTCTGGGAGAAGATGCAGGGATAGTTTTAAACTCCATATATTACTTCCTATGCTTTTCTGAGTCTGAAAATCAAAAGTTGGCCCAGTTACTGCTATCCTAAATGAGGTAGCTAAGGGGTGTGCCACTGTCAATCCTTTTCCAAATTCCAGATTTGTAAATGTCATGTCAACGTGGCATTTGTACTGGCAGTTTATCCCTGGGCTTGGCACACTCCTACAATGCCTGCACACAACGATATCATGCTTGGCATACACACCTCTTGCAAACGCTTCCTAGTTGGAACACTGGCAGTGCCCTATGCTCAGTAGAGACACACTTCTCTTCAACGGCTAACAGCTCAAGGGCTTTGATAGAGAAGAGGAACTTACAGGAGCGAGACATGCCATAAAGCAGGGCTCCCGCTAACAAACAAGAAGAAACATCACAAGCTCAAACAGAGGTTCATTTAACTCTTTTTGTCCATACAGCCCAGATAAAGTGAAGGTCGGAGCAGAAAGATACAAGTTGGAACAAATGCCTGCAAGCTTAAGGGCAGTAGAGAAGAGCTAAAATAAATGCAGTGTCATTCACGCTCTACTTGACACCATAATAGAACTTGAATATAATCATTATACATTTCTAGTCGTCTCAGCCTCTTGGTATATCATCAGGGTCCATTAAATTCAATTTTAGGTTTTCACGTTCTTTTTGGAGCAATTCTTGACTATTTAAGAGGATTGGTAGTTCATAATTATATTCCCTTTAGTCTTTCAAAGAAGAAAATTAAATTGAACTTATTTTAAAAGTAGAAGAAAAGCCCCAGTGAAGTAGCCCAGTGGCTAAAGTCCTTGCCTTGCACACACTGGGATCCTATATGGCTGCTTTGTTGAACATAGCTCAGAATCTACAATGCTTAAATTCCCTCCCATGATGGCAATGAGAACAGAATAATTCAGAAAGGAAGACATTCTCAATTTAGATAAACCAGAAGATGCAGAGACAAACAAGCACTCCAGACTAGTCATATTAAGTTGATCACACAAGCACAATTTCAGACCCTGATCTACATATAGTAATGCAATACACAAATTTCTAAGGACAAAGGAGAGTAAAATATTCTTATCTAGTTATATATTCAATAGGAAGATTTTAAGCATTTTACAATAACAATCTAAACCATCATGTGTTGCTACAGAAAAGCAATGCTATGCTTTCATTTTTTTATAATACTTGTGGCCAAATTTTGATAGTTTGTAAGTGGAAAGTACTAAAGGCAGATATAAAGGATACCTAGGAAAATACAGATGATAAAAGAAACAACTCATCAAATGATCATTCTAAATTATAAATCTAAAAATGAAACTTGTTGAGTTATGGAGAAATGGAAACAGCTGTCCTCTTACATAAAATTATGAACCAAAGGTTTCAAGAAACAATTCGAGAACTGCATTTTTATGACACAAATCCAAGAAACAAAAGTAATAAGAAGCAAGAATCTACCAGCAATGTATCTGAAATTCAGAAATCAGTGTTCCCCCAATCAAGGGAATGTGGGATAAATAAGTTAGGTTAATACATTTAATTATCACATTTTCAATTTAAACTTCCTCACTACTCTTTTGTTATTTTTATTAATTATTCACAAGCTGAAAAATATAACAAAAGGGTTCATTGGGGCCCAGCGACGTGGCCTAGTGACTAAAGTCCTTGCCTTGCATGCACCAGGATCCCATATGGGCGCTGGTTCTAATCCCGGCAGCTCCACTTCCCATCCAGCTTCCTGCTTGTGGCCTGGGAAAGCAATCAAGGACTGCCCAAAGCCTTGGGACCATGCACCCTGTGGGAGACCTGGAAGAGGTTCCTGTCTCTTGGCTTCGGATCCGTCGTTGCGCTCACTTGGGGAGTGAATCATCGGATGGAAGATCTTCCTCTCTGTCTCTCCTCCTCTCTGTATATCTGACTTTCCAATAAAAATAAATAAATCTTTTTTTTTTAAAAAAAAGGGTTCATTGGATTGAGACTAATTGTTGATGACTACTTGCATGACATGCTGACAGATCATGGTAAGAGTTCAAATGAATGAATGAAGTTCAAATGAAGAATTCAGAAAAACTTGGGTTTTCTGAAAAAAAAAAAAGTATATATCACCAAAAATACTGACTGGTCTTATTGCAAAAGGCAAGCTGATATTTAAGTAGACAAATATGTAAGAACTGCACAATGGAGACTACGGTACCAGGAAGCAAAGATCCATTGGAGCAGACATCACTATTCCCAATAAGAGGACTCCCAGTGAAAAAGTTAAATATGCCTTGTCAGTACAATACTAGATTTTCTACCATTGCCTGTACCTACAATACCAGGATGTACTCAAATATCAAAATGATAAAACTTGTAAGTAACTATTACTATGGTCTATACTATAATAATGGGGAAAACGGTGGGAGGGAAGCTTGGGGAGGGACAAAGGGAGAAATCCTTACACTTATAAAACTATGTCATGGAAAATAATAATAAAAATTTTTTAAAAGCAGGCTGAGGGGCCCAGCACAGTGGCCTAGTGGCCAAAGTCCTTGCCTTGCATGCACCAGGATCCTATATGGGTGCCAGTACTAATCCCGGCAGCCTTGCTTCCCATCCAGCTCCCTGCTTGTGGCCTGGGAGAACAGTTGAGGATGGCCCAAAGCCTTAGAACCCTGCACCCATGTGGGAGACCTGGAGGAAGTTCCTGGCTCCTGGCTTCAGATCGGCACAGCTCCAGCCGTTGTGGTCAACAAACGTAAAATGTAAGACACTGACTGAATCAAAAATAAGCTTTTTAAAAATTTATTTTTATTGGAAAGTCAGATTTACAGAAAGAAGGAGAGACAGAGAGGAAGATCTTCCATCCAATGATTCACTCTACAAGCTGCCACAATGGCTGAGCCAAACTGAAGCCTGGAGCCAGGAGCTTCTTCCAGGTCTTCCACTTGGATGCAGGGTCCCAAGGCTATGGGGCTATCGTTGACCGTTTTTCCAAGCCACAGGCAGGAAGCTGCATGGAAAGTGAAGCACCTGGGACACAAACCAGCACTCATATGGGATCCCAACATGTGCAAGGCGAAGACATTAGCCATTAGGCTACCACACCAGGCCCGGTCAAAATATTTCTAATAAATATAACAAAGGAGCACCATATAGACTATAAAAATTGGTCTTGTTTTCATTATGATGATGAATATTCCATCAGCAAAAATGACAAAGGATTTGAATAGAGAGGAGAGAGGCAATGGTCAATAAAAATAAGAAATGTTCATCCCAGTAGCTAACATACCAGTTAAGACACCATTCGTGTTCCACATCAGGGTACCTGGGTTTGATAGTACCTGTGGCTCCTGTTATTCAGCTCCCAACAGTGCAGACCATTAGAGGCGGAAGTGATGGCTCAAACAACTGGAGTCTACACTGGAGACCTAGACTGCGTTCCCAGTGCCACCTGATGCTGGTATTTGGAGGAGAGAACCAGCAGATGTGAGAGCAAATGCGCGCTCTCTCACTATATTTAAGCACATTTAAAAATAAGTAACTATCCAGATA